GGGTTTAGACCAAGAGGCGATGCTCTATGGCAAAGAGCAGTTCAGAACACGTGGTATAATTGGTTATGGTATACGGCTAAAGAATTAACAGCAAATGATTGTTTAATCTGTTCCGGTGCTCCTGGAGGAGCCCCAATTGTTATTCCAGAAAAATACAATTCTGTAGAATGTGCAGAGGTGCAAAGAAGTAAATGTCAAAAAGGTGAGTTTACTCCCGGAAGTGATGTTGTGTCATTCTTTAAATTACCTATGTGCGGGATAAGTTGTAGACTATTGTATGGTTCACGAAATTCTCATCAATACTTGGAAAACTGGGAGGGACACAGATTTGAGTCTTTGTGTGCTGAATTTAACCTCAGCACCACACAAAGTGCCCCACCTACTAATTATGAAATTGATTATAGTGCAGAATACGAATGTTTCGCCAGTGGAGGTTTTGCAGACAATGGAGGAATCAATGTAGGTAATACTACAGTGAAATGCAATACAACATGGGTGGTGTCATGGTTTAAACATGCAAATGTAACTCCTGTTTTTGTAGAAAAACCCATATGGTATGAAAATTTTGACTTTGCGGAACAACAATGTGAAAACATAACTATGACGATCCCAACTTTGTTTTTCTTAGGAGATCAGACATACCCAGTAGCAGACAGTTACTGGATGTGCGGTGAAGATATTTTGGTAAACACCTTACCCCTTAAGTGGGTTGGACTCTGTGCCTTAGTTAGAATGAAGGTACCCATTACCCTAGTGTATGAAGGAGTTAAAGACTTAATTGGGTTAGAGAGTAACAAAACAAGATCTCGCAGAAGCATACAGAATTACGGACTTAATGAAGAGGTTTATTTGGATTTAATTGGACAGCCTAGAGGTATCCCAAATGAATTTAAAGCGCGACATGAGGTCATTGCAGGACTAGAATCCATTGTGCCTTGGGTTGCAATTAATAAAAACGTTGAATGTATAAACTATGTTTACTACAATCAACAAAGAATGGTTAACTTCACAGTGGAAGGATTTATGGCAATAGGTGACCAATTACATGAGACCAGTAGAATGGCAATTCAAAATAGACAAGCTTTAGATTATATTTTGGCCAAAATGGGAGGAGTTTGTCATCTTATTGGTACCGAATGCTGTACTTACATACCTTTGAATACTGCACCAACAGGAACCTTTCACACTGTATTGACTAAACTAAACAAGCTAAAAATAGAAATGCAACAAAATGCTGGCCATAGTGGTTTGTCCTTAAAGAGCCTGGAGCAAATTTTAGGGGAATGGGGAACATTTGCAGTTAAGACTGGGGTAATTGTGACAATTACACTGATTGTGTTTTTTCTGCTTGTGTGTTGCATCTTGCCTATTATGAGGAGATGGATAACGATGACGGTTTACAAATGGATGACGACCGACCCGGGACCAGGGACTGCTCAACTATGAACCATCTAACAGCCGCTGCAAGAATGCTGAAGGCGTGAACGCATGCTCCTGTGTTCATGCTTTGAAGGCCAGGGACAAGTCCCTGAAGTGAAAGAACTATATTTGTGATTTTTCACAGATAAGAAGAAATTACCAGCATTAAACATTTTGTATTCAGTAAAATAATCTTGATGATGTAACGTTCCATTATCCTGCATTATACTCTGTATTATGCCTTATTATTCTGCATTACAATCTGTATTACTGTCTTATTATTTTAAATGGTAAGATATACATGGGCGGCTGTTTAGAGGACTGGGGACTCAGACTACTGACCGACTGACCTACTTAATTTTTCTTTTTCTTTCATTTACCTAGCGTTATATACTACAATACACTATAACTAAGTTCGAGTTATTTGAAATGTTTTGAATAGTTATCCTTCACATATTAAGTAATATCAAGATTGGGTTGAATGGTTCAAACAGTGTTGGTTTCACAGATCATCATGAGTAGCATGGTCAGGATGCGATTTGTGCTACGGCCGACCCCGGAGGAAGGATGGATGTTTGGGGGAAGCATGGGTCGATGGGATAGTTTCCTCTTACATGAGTTTGAAGTGAAAGAGTAAGATGCCCACAGGACGAAAAAGGGGTTTTCGATCCCATACTAATCGAATCATGGCCATGTGGAAAATGATGATCTTTCTTTGAAGGTTCAGTAATATTCACTTTGTTTTGTTATTTACTTTAGTTTTGTTATTAATCATGACATTTAATTTGTTTTTCTCAACTTGCATCCATACTGGGCTGCGTCGGTAACACTTAGATACCGTTTCATTTGAAATTCACATACACGTAAGTGCACTTAGCTGCGTAATATTACCATCACTATGCAAATTCTCATTAGTACTTCATTTTCAATGAACTACAGGAGGGAATGTAGAAGCGAATTGTGTTGCCTCAGGTCATCGTGACCTTAAGCTCACAATAATAGAGAACACAGAGCAAGCAGTTTTGGAGCCAGGTACACATTTTGGCAATAACAATGGCAGGAAACATGTGTTCGCAGGCGATAAGCCGAGTACAAGCCTTGAAAAACAAAATCATTAGGCCCACTCGCACGCAATCCGGTCACGAGCCAAGAACTTCCAGGAAATGTTATCAGAGCGTCCAGTCGTGCACATACATCCACACAGTGCAATGTTGAAACTATATAAACGCCCAGATTTGAATGGGAGTTGAGAAAAAGCCAGATGTGTTCTGTTGAAATGTTCAGCGCTGTGTTACGTGTACTGAGGACAGCATGTCAATTTGATCTTTGAAATAAACGCTTCTTCTCCCGTCCTGGGGCAATCAGATGATCAACTGAAGGTGTCCTGATTTTTGATTTTCTATCATTGAAAACCACCACAGGTAAAGGTTTGAACAAAACAGACTGTTCACACCTCCGGTGCAAGTCCAGCACCATGGACAAGTTGGTTCACGATGGGATCATGGTGGCAGGTGCTGATGAAGATAGCTTTACCATTTGTAGGATTGTTCTTATATTTTTCCTTTTTATTTGTTGCTTAATACCACGTCTCCAGTCAATGATTCAGAGAATGATAGGATCCACTCTAATCCAGTATTCAGCTGTAACTTATGTTCAACTCCGCCGAGACGCTGGTGAAGATACTGATGGTGTGGCAACTGTGTAATCTGTTACAGGGATAATGATCGCTTTCTAGGGAAGGATCGGGTAGGAATTTTCCCTCTATTGGAGAAGTTTTGCCTACTCAAGGGACAGGTTTTTGAAGCTTTTTACATTCTCAATAAATTTAAAATTTTTGCTTAAGTTTTTACATTTTAATCCTTTTCATATTTTTGTGTTTTGCATATTAATCTTTGATTACCGAATTCCCTATCTGCAATGCATTTATGATATGTGTAGTAAAAATCTTTTTAGAAGTGCTATGTGCTAATGTTTATATGCACAGCAGGAGGGAAATGTTAGGTTTGTTCAATGATGATTATAAAGTTAATGTGTATACATATAGAACATTGGAGAAATTAGATGCTTCACTCTGTTTACTGCAAACTGTCATGCAACGGTGGTAGAAATTGCTGATGTTTGTGCAAGGCTAATTACAGTTATCAGGAGACCACTCTATTCTGTGATTCAATCAGAGGAGCATTTTGTCCTATGACCTGATCAATTGCCTTGTCAGAAGAACACTCTAGTTTGTAACCCACCCCATGTGTTATGATCTGCTAATAAAAAGGCTTTGCAGAGGAAGTCAGTCAGAGAGTAGATGTAGCTGAATGTAGCTCTCTCCTTCTGCAGAAGCCGTTAAAAAATCCCTCTTCTGTGTGGACTAATAACCTAATGGGGAGTTTTACAGATTATATGGACATTGCAATGTAAGTAGAACATGAAAGGAAAAACAGAAAAATAAAGGAGAAAAGATGAAAGAAAGAGGAGATAAAAGGGAGATAATGATAAAACATTTTCAGTCTGCTTCAGCATGTGCTAAGAGATGTAAAAAGAACAACACAACCAACAGACATGTTATGAGACATACTATAAAGTAACACCTAGATACTATCGCTGAAGTCGTATTATTTAATCTGACATGTACTCTGTGTTACCTGAAGATAAGAATATGGGCTTTCTGTATGAAAGTGAATCTCTGAGTACCTGGAACCAAGCACCTGTAGTTGTTTGTGAGAGTGCACTTGTGCATGTAAAGTTTATCCAAAGGAACTCTAGCGTTCTGCTCTTTCTGCTTTTTCTCACAGTAGCTTCATCTGGTCTGTTTCTGTTTGGCTGTGACTCCATCCTGGAGAGAAATATCAGCTGCGCTGCTGCCATTAACACCTTTGTCTATAGATGTTGGAGATCGGCCTGTTATTCAGTGTAGTCCTGTTTCTCTGACTGTGACTAACTGGATGAGCTCTCTTCATCCTCTGACATGGGAGCTGGCTCGGAGCTCGTCTGCCTGGCTGTGTGTTTCCTGGACTGTGTGTCTCCTTGAACCCCAGTCTACCTCGGCAGATGGCCACTCACACTGAGCCTGATTCTGCTGGAGGTTTCTTCCTGTTAAAAGGGAATATTTCCTCACCACTGTCGCTACAAGCATGCTTCTTGTGAGGGATTACATTCGAGTCAATGAGTCGATGCAATCAACTGGTTTTCCTTAGATAGAAAACTTTAAACCAATCTGACAAGATAATCTGGTTGAATTGTCTCTGCAAAGAATCTTGAGATGACATGATGTGAATTGGTGCTATAGAAATAAACTAAATTGAATTGAATTAAAACGTTTTTTATCAAGGCGATTAAATAAAGTATTTGGTCTGATCCATAATTACCTTCATCAGTTCATCCATTCAGCTCAGTGTTATTTTTCTCAAAGCTGCATCATCTTAAACACCAACCAAACTCACATAACGAACCTAAGCCAGCCAAAAAAACCTCAGAAAAAAATGTTCCATTCCAGCAGCCAATCAGCTTCTACATGTCCTTTAACGGAAAACTCTGCATCATATCTTCACCGTATGAAACCTGTGAAACTGTCACTTAGATCCAGATCAGCGTCGCCATGGATGAAAGGCAGATGGTTCTGGTTGTTCTCTTTGGTAATTTTTAAATTTACCAACATATAAATAATTATGACCATGATATGCATAAAAACTAAAGTTGGCTATATTTAAAGTTTAGATCTCCTGAATGTCGGAGCTTTAATCCTGGAACAATATTCATGTTCTTTCTTCAACGTCTTTCTGTTTCAGGACTTTTTTCCTGGGATCTCTGCTCCATTTCTGCTTCAATGCTGGAGACGATTGTTCGACCTGGAGACAACATCACCCTCTATTGTGACTGCAGGCCGTCCACTGGAGTATATATAGTCTGGTTTAGAAACTGCTCCCATCAACACCAACCTACACTTGTAATTAAGGCACATAAAACCTCTAGAGAAAAGGAAAACTTACATCATCCTCGTTTTACATTTTTAAAGAACCAGTCGTCCGACACGTATGACCTGCTGATCATAAACGTCACTGATTCTGATGAAGGACTTTATTACTGTGGAACATTTGAACCAAAGTGGACTGAAAATGTCTACGTCTACGGAAACATCACCACAAGGATCAAACTCTGTAAGTTCTTTCTAATTTTATCAGGGCTTCTACAAGAAAAGTCATTTTACAGAAGTTTGACCAAATTGTTTTCACATTAATGTGGAGCTGAATTGGAAAAAGATGAAACATCAAGATGTTGACGAGTGGATTAATCGAATGATTTATTTAGAATATTTTAAAAACTCACTACAGGAAACTTTTGAAGAATCTTTTAAATCTTTGGTCAAACAGATGATTGTTCTTTAAATTACTTTATCATTTGACCTTTATTGACCCGGGAAAATAACCATTAAGTTTAACAACCTTTTTTCAGTAGAGACTTGGTAAAAAAATAAAAAAAGAACATAAAATAGGAAATTAGGTAACCTTCGAAATAGTTACAATAATTAAATGAATAACTGTTCCGAATATATTGAGTGCTTTTATAAAAAAGTGTTTCGGGGTTTGAGAAGAATTATCTTAAATTGCTTTTCAAATAGAATTTCATACTTCCATATATTATATATATATATATATATATATATATATATATATATATATATATATATATATATATATATATATATATATATATATATATATATATATATATATATATATATATATACACAATAGACTGTGCATTAAAGTAACGCAGGAAGTCTGGAGACGGTGCAGAACGGGGGTGTATATGTCCTTTATATAATTTACCATTACAAAATATTCTAATGAAATGTGAAAAATGACACTATTGGAGTTTTTTCCTAAATGTGTGTCTCTTTTTAGATGCAGGGTCTGGTTTCCTGCATCAGAACATTTCCAGACCAGTGGAGGAGTGTGGTTCGTGCTGGAAGCTGCTGTTCTCTGTCTGTCCTGCTGTTTCTCTGCTCTCAGCTCTCTTCTCCTCACTGCTGGTCTACCTGCTTTGCCTGAAGAAAGGTGCTGAAGATGATTTTTGACATTAAGAATTGTGAAACCAATATTTTTATTTATTTATATTGAAAAATCTTTTATACCTACAGCAAACAATGAAGCTGAAAATAAGAGATGTGACATTTCAAGGCAAACAGAAGGAGCTCAGGTAACAAACAACAGAACGGTTATTTTTGTTTTTGTTTTTTAAAAATAATCTCTGTGTTAAACTTTTTAATATGATGATGATTTTGAATATTACTTCCTAGGATGAAAATGTTTGTTATGCTGCCCTGGAAATCCATCCGCCATCACAAAGGACGAAGAGGAAGAGGACGATCCAAAGTTCAGATTTCAGTACATACTCTGCCATCAAGACATGAGGAGATTCATATTTAACACAGAAGTCTTATTTCAGCTTTGTCTTATTTCTATTTACATCTCTGTTCATCAGTGAAGCTCTTTTCAAACCAGCAATGACCTTTGCAGGCAGAGCTGCTGTTGCTGCATGTTTTTAATTAAATGTCTAACTTTCATTGTAGACGTCTTGAGTTCCTCTCTGAGACAGCTTAGTCAAAAACAGCAGCGAAGCTCCGACACGCCGTACCCTACTACTCTAATACTGGTTCTATATTTCAGTTTGCAGAAGCTCTAGTTACATTAAAATTAGTGTTGCACCGATGCCATTTTTTGGCCTCGATTCCGATACCTGGCTGTGCAGTATCGGCCAATACCGATACCATCTGTTTGAAATTGATGTGTGTGTATATTTGAAGAACTGCATACTAGTTGGATGTAAAATAATTGCCATCATGGCTTTGTCAAGCTGCTGCCTACCTTTGTGAAGCAGGAAAAAGACAAAAACAAAGTGAATCCAGTAGAACGTTTTACCTGGAATGGGTGACAATAGTTGAATAAACTTTTGGCTCTCAAAATGGTATCGGTGACCGATACGATGCCACCATTTTAGCGCTGGATCGGGACCCTGCCCAATACTGGTATCTGTATCGGTGCAACACTAAATAAAATATACTTTCAAATATTCTCAGTGGCATTTATTCAACTCAAATGTTTCAGTAATGTAACATCAGATTTTGTGACCATTTTCTTTTACAACCAGCTCTGTTCTGTTTATCTAGAAATAGAAGGTAAATCTAAACAGTTACACGTTTTTATCTCTTTTGCATGTAATAATGTTTTTGTTCACTTGAGGCCATTCAAAAGAATGAGAAACCAAAAGGTTAATAGAAATCAGTTTTAAGGACATCTCTCCTATTTAAAAAGGTTTCTTCAGGTTTAGTTTCCAGCTGTAATATTTGAGACTCCAACAGTCATTAAAGTCATCAGGTGGGGGAACATCAACAAAGACAGGAAATATTGACAGTCTGTAATGTTATGCTCTCTGATATCTTGGCCAGGTTTTGTTATCTATTAAATGTTATATATTTAATGTTCTCTCTTAAATTTTATCTAATTCAATCAGAAAATCCTTGTGTGGTCTCTAGTGATAACTCCATTAACAAATTAATCAAACTTAAAAAAATTGCCCCAAACTTGAAACCATGCTCAAAATATTTAACACGCTTTTGAATGGCGGCATCTGCTGGACAGTTATGAGAACTACATCTGAGCCTGTATCCAAGTGTCCTCAACTATTTGTTACTGAACTCTTTTTTTTTACATAATAACAGTATTGATAATGATTTAGGTAGATATTTATGTATATTTTTGTATTTCTGACATTTGAAATTTGTATGTGATTAACATCCCTTTTGTTGCATAACAGCTTGAGTTAAGGCTTTTTCTTTTCTTTTTTTTTAGTAGCAGATAGTTGTGTAATTATACCTTATAAAATCATACTTTAGGCAGTTTTTGACAGAATGTTGACAAGAATGTGGGAGGAGTGTGAGCTTCTGCAACTAGGATGGTGCTTGTGTTACTTATATATTAAAATAGTGAAGTTTTGTGCACTTTTGTTCGGTTTCAACAATTGTTATTCAAAAAAAGAATAATTTCCTCTGTGTTTGGCTTCAATCTGCTCCTCTTCTGTCTCACCTCTCCAGCTCTTTTTTATACATAGCCTACATTGTGTAGATTTACTTATATTTTTTACCCCTTTTATAGAATAGAATAGAAAATCCCTTTATTGTCCCACAATGGGGAAATGTACAGCAGCAGTAAGATTATAGAAAATGGTCACACAAAATGTGGACCTTAGAAAAATGTATAAGAATAAAATAATAGTGAAGAGTTCAAATATAAACAATAAAATCCTGTACTGTAAAGTGTTTTAACAATATAAAACTGGAGAATAAATAACCAATATACAGCTATGGACATTTCTGCAGTAATAGAGATGTGCAGAATGACAGCAGCAGGTTATTTAACTAACTAAGGTTTCTATCTTTTATTTGTTCATGCTCCCGGTGGTTGGAACCTTTATTCCACTCTGGATTCGTGTTAATGTAGTCTTTGTTCACTTTACAATAAAAAAAAATGAAAAAAACTTAAAAGAAACAGTTTTAAAAAGTTCGGGATTCATCTTTTCCTGCTTTCTGTGTCAATTATCACAGTTGCTAGGCGACAGAGCCTGCGGCGGTAAAAGCCGCTGAAAGCTGGACTTGTTTGAATTCACAGCTAAAACACTTCCTGTCTCCTTATTTTCACGGACTTCACAGGATCCAGTCCAGATCCGTTCTTGGAGGATGCAGACCATCTTGAATTCCAACACAGCCTGCATGGTGAGGAGGCAGTAGTTCCACTTCCGGTTGTTTGCCTCCAGCCGGTAAAATCAGAGAAGAAGAAAAGGAACATTATTTTGAAAATTCCAGCGGATGTTGTGTTTGAGCCACTTCCGCCAGCCCACCGCCAGTCTTATAACTACAGCCTGGAGTTTTGCGGATAATCCGGCTGCTGTCGGCTGTGAGCCTCAGAAATGATGATGAGGAGGATCTAGCGGAGAGCTGCGGAGCCTGGAGGACATCATCCGGCCGGTAAATGTCCCGCTTATAGAGCTGCACGGACCGGACGGTCCACTAACTGGACCTAGCATCTGCTAACTCACTCTGCTCCAGCATTCACAGTCAGCTCCAGGTTCTCCTAAAGTCTTTTGATCCTCCGACCTTTCCGATCACTTCCGGTTCCTTTAATGTTCCTTCGGATCGGTCATGATTACCGAACAGCTTCTATCTCCAGGCGGCTGAGCTCCAACTGCAGAACAGGAGACGCTCAGGTTAAGTCAAACCAAAAGTTATTCCAACTTTGATCTGATCACGTGGTTGTTTAACTGCAGTAAATCAGAAAGTGCCGTTTAAATGAAACCCAGTTCCTCCTGCCTTTTTTCTTATATTTCGAGAATATTTCGAAAGTTGTAATATTTCAGAATAAATTCGTAATATTACGAGAATGAAGTCATCGTTCAACAACCTGGTTCAGAAAGAAAGCTATGAGCTCCGCCCACCAGATCACGTCCGACCAGCTCCACCAATCAGCAACCAGAGTCCACTTTGACATCCTGCCCAGTTTGATGCTGCTGCTAAAAGATTTCCTGATTTTTCAAACCGATGCTAAAGTAGAACTTCACATGATGCTCCGCATTCCTTTTAGGGAAGAAAGAGCTTCTTGGAAGAGTTATCATAAGATAAAACTTGTTTCTCGTAATTTTAAGACTAATCTCGCTGTGACTTTATTCCCGTAATGTTACTTTATTTTCGTAATGTTACAACTTTATTCTCATACTGTTACGTCTTTATTCTTGTAATATTCGACTTTATTCACGTAATGTTACGACTTTATTTTCGTAATGTTACGACTTTATTTTCGTAAATTTACGTCTTTATTCACGTAATTTACGACATTATTCACGTAATTTTCGACTTTATTCGCGTAATGTTACGATTTTATTTTCGTAATGTTACAACTTTATTCTCATAATGTTACGTCTTTATTCTCGTAATAGAAGGGGAAAAATATCTCTAGCCTGGCCCTAACACTCCGTCGTACATCCTGTCCACTCCCTCTGCTCTCTGCCCTCTGCTTTGGGTCAAGATAAAAAGCTCTAAAATAAGATTATACAACAACTGAAAATGCTGTGAATCTATGCTAAACCAGCTGGTGGCGCTGTGACACAATGACGGTAAAGAGCTGGGAATGGAATTAGCACTGATCTCTATTTATTCCCTTCCGCTGATCGCCCGTTGGTGGGGTTGAAGTCGTCATATTGGTACTCCCTAGTTAAATCGGTCGCAATGTAAGCAATCTGTGCGCTACAGCATCAAACAACGATGATGTTCTCAATTTAGCGGGACTTAAGACTTTTACAATAAAGATAAATTCATCACTTTGACACAGTCTGGCTGTTTCATAGCATCAGTAGATTAATGTAATTTATAATAAAAAGAAGGCTCATCACATTGCATAGTCATTATGAAGTCAATGAGGTCTATAAATCATGTAATATAACATATTATACAAATAAATCACAATAAAATAAATGCATTAATGGAGCAGAATAATACTGATGTGCCAAAAGTGCTAAATTGATGATGTACATGTAATATACATGGATTTATTAGATTGTCGTGGTAATTACATATTACCTGTCTGATAATGCATCATATATATATATATATACACTACAAAAACAACAACATCCTCCACTTAATAAAGAACATTGACATTTCACAGTAAAATACTTTCTATCTACTCTACTTTCTAGTTTCTTACGTTAGACGCAATGTTGTTGGCTGATTCAATCAATATCTTCCAGTCAGTCCAAGAGAAGCCAGACTAATGTTACACTACAGACTATACTATAGGATCCATCGGCGTATAGATGGATTTTCTTGGTTAGTTCATCCATTCACTGTAAAATTACCAGTGGAACATTTTTCTAGAGCCAGAAAACTGCTTGTTTTTGCAGCCAAATGCTTCACAGGGAGGAATTTTTACTGAGCGTCTCCATGGGAGCGGGGAGTACCAGCATGACAGAGTAAAAATAGATCAGTGGTAATTAGTCATCACAGCGCAATTTTTAGTTTCATTTTTATAAACTATTTTATTCAGAAAAATTCCAATTATGGTAAAATTTTATATAAATGAAAGAGGCAGGGAGGGGCGGAGCCTCCAGCAGCTTCACTCATGGCTGCAGATCAACACAGAGGGATGCTGTGTGACATCACTCCATGTTTACATCCTTTCTAGCTGAAATAATGAATGATTGCTCCTTTAGATGTAAGGTTAGCATCGTTATAACGTCGGGCAGGACTTCCTAAAGTCTGCCGCCTTCTGGATGAAGGGAGAAACCTGAAGGACAAACGATTGATGTGAATCCAAACATTTGTTAAAACAGAGAAGATCCTCTGACTGCTGTGAGCTGACTTCTCTTACTCTCTGTGTTTCAGTCTTTGCGATGCTCTCTCGCCCTCCGACCCTGATGGAGACGAACGGTCGGGGATGCGACCCGGCAGCAGACCCCGCCTCCCCGCTCCTCCCTGTGGCCGATGCAGGTGGTTCTGCTCCTGTTCCTTCTCAGTCTCTCACATGATGAAGGTTATAACATCACATGTTTCTCTCCTGCAGGGCGTCTCTCTCCCCCTCCTCCCCCCGCCGCCCCCCCATGCTGCTCCTGCGCCTCCCTCTTGCCTCGCCTCTTGGCGGCTCACCGGATGG